ATCACAGTCTGGGTTAAATGAACAGTAATAAGTGCTTGTAGGTACATGTTGGATGTGAGACTGTTCCCTTAGGATTTTCCAAATAAGAGAGTCCTACTTTCTCTAAAATTTCCTCTTCCGCAGTCGACAAGCGTTTTTACTAAATTTTGCACTGTACCGGAACCGCTGGTAAAATCTGATGAAAATTCGAACAAAATCAACTAAACTATCAGGATAAGCCGCAGCACACAGACGACGAGATTCCAGTCCGTTACCATTAGCACGACCACACACAGTGGCGGCGCGTGAACATTGATTGAATGTGTTCTGTTTAGGGTTGTTACATTTGTTGAATTGAATTCCGGGATATTAAGTGGCCGAAGAGTTTCCAAATGGCGCCGCAGGCGAAAAATTTTCAAGGTCACGCGTTTTCCTGGAACTTCTGAATTTCAAAGAGCAATCCATTTACACAAAAATACAGATTTTCACAAGAACGATTTTTGAAATTGATACCTTTTTGAAAGATCTATTCATGAATTACCTACTGACGATATAAATAAATTGGAATAAACTAAATACATATATTTTATTAAATTATTGAATATTGTTTATAAACAAAAAAATCGTTTATGAAGTTTACCAACGATTCAACGAATTTTAATATTCCTCTCCGTGTCATGATTTTCTCTTTTATCTTTTTTTATATAAAGGGTGTTCCTAAATAAGTGTCGCAACGGAAAACTGTAAATTTCTCTTGAAAAGAGAAACATATTTTTCCTCTTCCATTTTTCTCTCCGGGCTTTCGTTTTCGAGATACACGGTGTCAAAACTTTTTTTCAGATATTTGCCAATATCTTAGGAACCGTTTGAACTACAGGACTGAGCTTTTGTACATACATTACCACTATTAATAGCTACTTGTTGCAAATGTTGTTAAATTTCGTTAAACTTGTTAATTATTACTATCTATCTTTTGAATTATAAAAGATTTTTGAAAAGTTTGCAAAATGTTTGTTTTTGTTCATAAAAAGTCATTTTTCTTGAAAACGGTTGACTTTAGAGCAATGAACCAAGAGAACTCTTTTAGTGTAAAATTCATTGGCGCTTTAGAATTTGCTGTCAAATGTCAATTTTTCCAGTGGCGTAAAAGTTAGGGGGGAAAACCCTTATGATACCTTAAAATCTCCACCACTGGCACGTTCAATGAATTCGTGAAGGGTGCGAAAAAGTAGCTATTAGTAGTGGTAATGTGTATACAAAAACTCAGTCCTGTAGTTCAAACGGTTTCTAAGATATTGGCAAAAATTTTTTAAAAAAATGAATGTTTTGACACCCAAAAAATGGAAGAGGAAAAGAATGTCTCTTTTTTCAAAAGGAATTTACAGTGTTTCGTTGCGAGACTTACTTAGGAACACCCTGTATATATACATATATTATATTCCATATATACATGCAAATCCGAAATCCGGGACCCTACAACTAATTCCCGGTACAATCACAGAAAATCCCGGTCATACCCATGTGGCTAGATGTTCTTTTAATATGTCGTCAAGATCTGCACTAAAATTTATGAGACCACGAAACACATCAGGGTTGTCCGAATTTTCTGTCTCGTCGTGTCCGCGAAGTGCTAATTCGAAAGCTCCGCTAAATTTTTTGCAATGTATGATTTTAGATAATACATAACGATTTTTCGTTACCTGTTCATTGTGTTTCCGTATATTATCCCAATAGCCAGAATCTAACTGACTTCTTATGTTTATTTTACCTAATGACAATTACTTAAATCTTTCACACTGTATATTTTCCATGCTTTATCCCCATAGAAAAGTAAGCACGGAAAACAAAACAGTATATTTTTGATATCACATCCGCACACCCACTCTGCTTTTGTGTATACATTATTGGATTATTGTTAAATTGTCTTTTATAACTTTTACTTCGGCTTGTTCCACTAACTTCAATATTTAATTGTGGTATTGGCCCACCTAATTCTTTTATTTTTAGTTTATCCTAGGTAGAGAAACAAATAAAGTTTTTTGTAAAAACGAAACGCTATTCATTTTAATAACTATAATATCCGTAGACGCCTAAACGAAAACATTCACACGTGCCGCTCGCAGAAATAAACCACCACATACCACGAACGAAATATTACTGCATTTACTATTACTTCTTACTGCAGCTGTGGCTGTCGTTGTTACAGCCACATAACTCCATATACGCGTGTACTGGGTCACGTGCCTCATTAGCCAATAAAAACAAAGGACGCATCTAACTGTTCGTTGTGAACACATTTTGTATATGAGGTTGCATATATTAAAGGGCGTAGCTCGCGTCGTAATAAATAATAATATAATCTCCCAGATTTATTTTAGCGCGAGTACATTTGAATTCTTTAAATATTTTGTTGATATTTAAAATTAAATACATAAAATTGTATGTGTTCTGCAGCTCCGCAGCTCTTATGGTAAAACCGCCACTGACCACACATAAAATGCTTGTCCGCTATTCTGCATCGATGTACAATGCCGTTATTTATATAATATTAAATATCTTTACAACACATTATTACCTTAGTCTCAGTGTCCGTTACTGTTCTAGAGTGATCTGAAGGGGAGAATTACTTTTCCCAGAAAATAATTTCCTTGTCGCATGTAGCTGCAAATAATTCGGGTTTCACGTGGCTCACCGTATAAAGCTCCTAATGTCCCAAGCGAGAAACGTGCGTACGTACGTATGTGTGTGTATGTTTATGTCGCTTATTGATTCCCATCAACCCTTGTACGCGAGTAATCAATCATTTCGGTGTTCGCCCGGGGAATATTTCATTTGCCGGCACGCTATATCAACGTAAATCTGTCTCGTTGAAATATACTGACCCTCCTGAATATGTAAAGCATTTTTGTATTCGAGTTTTATTCCGTTTGCATGGAGAATGTCGGAAAATAAACACAGAAAAGTACTCGTAGGAAATTGAAATTCAATTCAATTTGCGCGGTAGGTACATACCGAGGTAGACACCTCGGTTGATATGCGATGCGTTCAAGATTAGCTCAGGGGCGTAGCGGTGTGGTTTGGTATATAAATTTCTCCTATTTGTAGAGACAAAATATAAATACTTTATAAAATTTAATTGTACAGTGCGTTTTCCAAGTACATCCAGAAAATGTAAGTATATATAGAATACGTGTCGGATGAAACGACTTGATCTGCAGCAGGAGGGGAAAGAACGCCAGAGGTGGATGACGGGGAACTTGTTCTTCCTCCATTATCGAAGAATTCGTAGGCAGATTTATGAAGATGGATCTACGCTCTATTTTGCGTCTGGAGACAACCTGATACGCTTGTTTTTGAGTTCAAAGTTTGAGGGTTTCAATCGTGAAACGCATGGAGGAAGCACGCTTGCAGCGGCAGTGTAGACGAGTGACAGAAAAATAGATAGTTTGGGTACTATATTTCTCTCTAACGTAGGCACGTGATTGGCTAACGCAACTCCCTCCGCTCCCTAGCAGAAAAGGTTCACTCTTTCTCAATGATTAGAGACAGAGAGTGAGTACGAAACTCTCGCCCTTTCTCTCTAGGTACAGCGTCTACACTTTCTCCATATGCTCTAAAGTTACAACTGACCCTTTGAATTGTCTTTCACTCTGGTGTTTATTTCACTGTGTTTAATTGTGGTAGCTAGGCACTATAGTTTATACTTGAGGTCTCCATAGAGTAAATGCAACTGCGCTGTGTAGGAAAGCTAGTGTATTTCAGCTTTAGAAACTGGATACCCGTGAGGGTCTTCGCTGTAGGTGTAGGACGGACCTAAGCGGGTAGCTTGAGGAGCTTTGTGAGTTTAAGAGCTCGTGTGATTATTTTTTAGAGATAACTCAATATTTAACAATATTTTAGGAAACACTTATTGGTTTTTATTAATTATCGGGCTTAAATAAATGTAGGCAGTAATACATATGACACAGAGCATAAATTAGGAGCAAGTACAAATTCTGGCTAGGTATCCGTCCCTGGTTACAAATCCGCCGATGGATCGGGTCGACGTTGAATCACAAGCAGGGACCTCTCTAGTGGTGGCTCTTTTGCGTGGTCTGGTTTAGTGCGCCAGTCGCCACCATTTCGCCTTATTGATTCGCCTTCCTCTCGAATTTTTGCTTTCCGGAACTAGATATTACGTCGTACTAACTTTCATGCAATTATGATGTTGTATTTCCATTCGGTTCGAATTTTGTCGAATTCAGAGATCTCTTACACTCGAACCTGGAATGGCTTCTTCTCATTTATTTCGTGTCAATGGCAACGTAAACTGCTGCGATGATCTTAGAAAGATCGGTGAAATTTTGCTATTTCACCGCCGTGTCGTCCTGGATGTTACTATCTATGGCACCGTTCTTCATAGATGTCTACTGCCGTAGATAGAGCGGTTTGTGACTGTTTGGAGCGGTTTTGAGCACAACGGAATTTTAGAAAGGTAGGTGAAATTTTCCAAATTTGCGCAGCGCTGTCTGCACGCCCTGAGTCCACGAGCCCTTTGGGACATCGTCCGCGGCTCTCGCTGCGGTCAATTCCTGCATTTTTCGTGGTCCTGATTGGAAAGTTTGATGAATTTTGGAATTATGTTGGAAATTTATTTTCGTAAACTTCTGCAGCACAAATAATCTGGTAAAAACGCACAAACGTATTAAAGCGAAGCACAAGACTACTCGAGACGGCAAATAATATTATCTTGACTTCTGTGGTCACTTTATCCATGTATCATTTTCAGTTAACCGATTTTTAAAATATTTTTCAAGTCTTTTAATAATGAAAATACGAACAAATTTATCCACGCAATAAGGCAATAAATACATAGTATCAACGTATTTTCGTTTCCTGATAAGAATTTTAAAAATATTTGCTCCCAACGTTTTCTCACTGGTATATGGCCTTCAATCGATTTACCTTGTATCCAAACGCATGTTGACTTTTCAGTTTTTCTCCTAGTTTATGAAAATGGGTTTAGGATTAAAAAATGCGAAAATCAAAAAACACATTTATTTAAACAATTCGTTTTCTTTACATTTGATTAAAACTTAATTAAACCAATTTTAATATCTTAATAGTCAGCATTTTGGTTAAGTGATTAGGACTATGAATATACTTGCATAAAATATCCAATGTCCAATTAGTTAACTGACGAACGGCGATTAGAATTTAGACTGTGAACACACAGAAACCGTCTAATTCTATTCAAAATACCGGGCTCTTAAGTGTCGTACTTCACATTTACAGCAGTGCTTAAACGATAATCATATAAATAATGCGAGAAGAAATAGCGTGCTAAGTATTTGGTAATTTGGATTAGTAGCCTTCATCAGAGAAACCTACGTTGTAATCTGGGTACTGCTTCTTCAGGATGTCCACTGTAAGTTGATGGTCCGCCTTCCCATAACCCTGTAACAAACATTGAATATTCAGTTACAGTTACCTTAGTTTGTAGTAAGGCACTTATAATTTAGTGGATGTGGCCTATAAAGTAGGCTATATCTTATTACTAACACTCAATATCTACTGATACAGAGCGACCTATTGATCAACTATTCGTGCTTTCGTAAAACAGATTAGTTAAAGCACTGTACCAATAAGTACAAAACAATAGTATTTGTGCCAATAGACACTTGCTTCCTACAAGTAAAAAATACAGTTCAGCTTGGTTTAACTTTGAACTACATCTAAACCATTACTATACAACTGGCTCTATATGGTAATGACTATACAAGTTCAGAACAATCAATATAGAAGGATGTCCTATATTCACTCTCATTACTACTCAGACTATCAAACTTGAGGGCATAGCAATCATCTATCTATCTATATAATTTTTTCACGTCGTCAATTGCAAGTTATCTCGAAAAAAGCTCCAAGAATAACATATGACGCGTCCTTTCTGCGACACTCCATCTCACCTGTGAGTATCCGTAGACCTTTATATCCTTAGCTTCGGCGTCGTGATTGATTCGGCCTCCACCTAGCACTTTGGATCTCCAGTCGCGAATGGCCTTCGACGCCTTCAGCTGCTGCAGTTCCCCGGTCACTTTATCGTTTATATCGGCTGCAAGAGAAATCGAAACGATTAATCATCTTCAGACACTGGACGGGCCTAGTATTTATTTAAATGGGTGTATACTATATTTCCACCAAAATAATTCCCTGATATTTAAGTAGATTGAAACATATTTTCAATTTGTGAAGATATATGAAGATATCTCCACGTTATTTATGTGGGATATATCGACTGAAAAAGTAAAATGATTCAGAAAGTGAAGATTGAAGCCCAACTTTTCCTTTCCTTAAAATCGATATGCGATGAACTACAGTTACGATCCTACTACCCTTTTCCTGTCTATTTTAGCTAGCGATCCGTACATCATCAAATTCATTTTCTAATAAACCCGAACCCGGCCATAATATCAATAATCGACTCTCGCACAGACCGCGCCAAGATTTAGTGGACCTTTTAATGCGATTTGTATGCTTCACCAACTGGCGTTTTACTTCAAGAATTTCCGACTTAATAATTTCCTTTAGCTAGGATAAATGTAAAAGATAGTTTAATAAAAACTTCACCTGGGAACTCAATGGCTGCAAACTTATTCGTTTGTGCCTGTTACAGGCTGTGGGGTATATGGGTCTACCCATATACATGGTGTTCACATTTACCTATTTTTCCGAAGAATTCATGTCATCGAATAGAAAAAAATTGATACGATAAAACAACTATATACATTTTTATAAACTGTACATATTACTTACAACCGACTAAGAAGACAACACGATTTCGAACAAAATCTACCTACTATCAAAATGTCTCTAACGTTTCTTAATGTTGGAGATTTTCAATATTTGTTGTGATGTGGTGTGGAACAGAATGGGTAAATGAGCAAGCAATAAAATCGAACGCACTACAATAACAGCGCGATTAACATGAAGAGCTAGGTGGTGCAAACGTATCGACTATAACACTTAATCTCTAGTTTCAGAATTTCTTCGGAAGAAGAGAGGGATATACAGGGTGTATCCATAATTAATAGCGCAAATTGTAACAGCAGTAAGTATAGGATACCAGAAGCAAAAAAATCTTGGTAAACAAACGAGCCGTTTGAAGAATTTGTAGTTATCAGGCCCTACTGACTTGATTGTATGTAAACGTCATCCTAGTTAGGAAAACGTACCAATACAACATTAGTTAGTTGTGTTATTAGATACTTTGGTAGAAGTGCAGTTGTTTTTAATGAACAAGAAAACAGTCTTACTTATTAGTTTGTTAGAGTTACATGTTACAATGAAAAATAACAAATACGGGCCTCATACTCAACTTATTTTAATTTTTTGGTGTGGTTAAAAAGTTAGCAAACGCCCCATTATCCAACATTTCGTTCAGAGTTTGCTCAAACTTCGCCGATTTATATTAAATTCTAAATTAAACTATCACGATGAATTAAACTAGTGAGAGCGTTAATTCTATGACAAACTGACGTTGGTTGTGAATATAAATTCCGCTAGACGCGCAAAATTATATTAAAACCCTTCATGTTCGATAAACACCATAAAATAACGAGCAGGCAACTTGCAATAATAGCGGATCTAGAAGATATGTTGACTTTAAAAAAAGATTTACGCGGTGCCTAGCCAAGTCTTACGTAGGAACTTCGTTAACTTTATGACGAAGTTAAATATAATTAGGTAACTGCAGGGAAATGAACCTGAAATTATAAACACGGACTTATTGATCTTTTTAGTGCACGTTCCTGGTTAAACATTACGAGGTTGGTAACTGCGCCGTCGACTTTTACGATAATTTATGGTAGTTCAGAATACATAAAGATGAAATATATCCCCTGCATTTATATTGCATGCCTTATGTTTTGCATTCCTTCTGTTTTTCAGTAGTTTACTGAAGTTACGGAAAACTGGCGTAAAATCGTATTGAAGGAAATTAGTAGTATTACCCTCATCCTGGAGTTTTGAGAATGGAAGTTAAAAGTTATTAATATACGGCATTCTCATCAATTAAAATTACGTACATGGTGTCCCAAATTTTAACCGCGAAAATTTTGAAATATACAGAGTGATTTACAAACAGTGACCAAAAATAAAACCTCGTTTTCTTTGGTGAATTTTAAGGGGAGTCTTTTGTATAAAGTTTTTATCTCGGAAACTTGGTTAAAAAATACAGGGTGTTAAACTAAAAAAAAATGATTTGAATTTTTTTAAATAATTTAAAAATTAGTAGGTAAGTGGAATAATTTGAAATTGGGTATATCTGAGGCCTTCTCCTAAAATTTAGATGCTCCAGTGGCGGAGCCGGAGTCCGGAAACGTACCGTTTTTCAAATATGGGCTTCAAATTTCTTGAAGATTACAAAGGCATGCTAGTCATTTTGAATTTCAGTTTTTCAATGCCGTATATACTGAGAGGTCAGCCCTTTTCAAAAATGTAATATCTACGTCTATGACTATGAGTAAATTGCATAACAACGATTGCACTTTATGACCTTTAAAAAAGTTATAAATATTAAGAAACATTTATGTACAGGGTGATTCACTATATTTTGACCCCCCTTAACTTTTTTGTTTCAAGAGTTATAAAAAAATGAGAAATACAAAAATTGCACGATTTATTATGAATTTTTCGAAAATGACAGTCGAAAAACAATAGAAGTCCAAACAAAATGGCCACTGATGTTAACTTTGTTAATTTTAATGGTATATGTGTATTTTTGTATATTTCGATAGAACGTTCCCAATCGAGCATAGTCATATAAGGTTTCTTGGGTCCATCTCTAATAAGCGAGATACTATTAAAAAACGAGAAGAAGGTTTTTTATTAAGAAAATGATACATCTTGAATTGTTAGACCTCTTTCAGGCATTTCTGCTTTTTTTTCCAATTACGTAAGGATTTACAGACTTAGTTATAATATATTTTGACATATCGGACCTTAATATGGTCCAAAATACGTATTTTAACTAAATATTTCTAATTAGGCCGTGAGAGACCTAATTACTCATGGACAATGTTATATGGTAGCTCGTGACAGTGACAGGTAGTAATGTCATGAAAACATCGTTATTGATTGAAAATTTGTATTATTACTTAATTAAACTTTATTTCAATTTCCTACTTCTGTATAACTCATTTTAATTAAATAATAATACAAACTGTCAAACAATAACAATGTTGTCATGACATTACCTGTCACTGTCACGGCTTACCATATAACATTGTCCATGAATTAGGCCTCTCACGGCCTAATTAGTGAGATTAATTCAAATACCTATCGCATTTTGGACCATATCAATGTCCGGAATGTCAAAATATATTACAACTAAATCTGTAAATGCTTATGTAATTGGAAAAAAGGCAAAAATGCCTGAAAGATGTCTAACAATTACAAGATATCTTAATTTCTTAATAAAAAAAAATCTTCCCGTTTTTTAATAGTATCTCGCTCATTGTTAGAGATGGACCCAACAAACCCTATATGACATGCTCGATAGGGAACGTTATATCAAAATATATAAAAATATACAGGGTGTTCCATTTAAATTAACAAAGTTAACATCAGTGGCCATTTTGTTTGGACTTCAATTGTTTTTCAACTCTCATTTTCGAAAAATTCGTAATAAATCGTGAAACTTTTGTATTTCACATTTTTTTATAACTCTTAAAACAAAAAAGTTAAAGGGGGTCAAAGTATAGCGATTCACCCTGTACATATTAAAAAATTTAAAAAAAACAAGACGAATTTCAACGAAATCGTCACATATTCCAATTTCAGTTGAATATAAAATACGATTGTGCCTCAACATGTAAATATTCAAAGCAGCAGAAATATGTATTTATTGAAACATGCAGAACTGACCCACTACCAATTACTGAAACAAAAAACTTATATTGGTTGCTTTTATGACAAGTCGGTTCATAATAAAGTCAAAACGTTTTATTCCTAGAAATTCGCCGACATATTTTGTAGTATAACAACTCCGGGTTCGATCGAAAAAAAAAATAAACGTAGTTGTGGTCAGAAATATGTGATCGTTATAAGGAATACCTACGTTGTATACATCTATTTTTAATTGAGCGGAAGGCGCTGGCTACTAACTTTAAAGAGGGGAAGTATGGTTTAATTTTATAAAACAAAAGCAGAGTAAATACACCTAACTTTATTATTTACGTACAACAGTCTTCGAATTAAACATGTGGCAAATAGAAAGAACAACGAAAACATTAACAACCATTTAACATAAAATGAGAGTGCCAGGCTCACCTAGAGATCCTGCGGGGAAAGAGCATGGCAGAGAAACCCACTATCGTTGCTCTAACTACCCAAATATAAATATAAAACAACAGCTAACAAAAGGCCTAAATTAGGATCCTTTGCTAATGATAATTAACGCCCGACTCATTTAATGTCTCACTAAATGTCACCTCACTCGAATTAAACGTACACACTATCAAGTAAAACTGAAGAGGATTGGTGTTAGTTAGCCGACAGAGCCGGAAGGTACTGGACGGGAGGCAATCCAGCTATGAGTTGAGATTTCGGAAGATCTATTTTAGCAATTCTTTTTTTGTATTTAATTATTCTTTTTACAGATTCATTCCTCACGGGCGAAAATGTTAGTAAATTCAACAAGGCTCTTATATGCGTATGACATAAAATGAGCACAAGAAATGCTTTGAAATGCTTTATTATCTGTTTTTCGAACAACGTAATCATGATAAAACAAGTTAAAGGTGTAACAAAGGAGTTGTTATTGCACTATCTGGGCAGTCACGACAATGTATATACATTTTAACATGTAATAAATAATTAGCAATCGTTAATAATAATTGTAACAATTTTACCTTAAAAAAATATATGCCCTTGAGCATAAAACAATGGAGGCTAAACATACAAAGAATTATTATCATGACACATCTATAACCATCAGAATCATAAGATTACATAGAACAATTAACAACAAAGTACTTAAAGAATATTACCTGCTAAGTAATACGGGTTAAACACTTTGATTTTTCACTATTTTGCCACACTGCCCGCCGATCG